CCTCCCCCTCCCTCCTTCCCCACCTCCCCACCTCCTCCCCTCCCCTCCCCTCCCCTCCCCTCCCTCCCCTCCCCCTCCCCTCCCCCTCCCCTCCCCTCCCTCCCCTCTAATCCCTTCTCCCTCCCTTTCTCCCTCCCTCTCTCCACTCCCCATCTTCCTACCCCTTCCCCCCTCTCCTCCCCACTTACCATTTTCCTTCCCTCCCCTCGCTCTCTTCTTGCCTCGCCCTACCTCCCTCCCCATTCTCCTCGACTTGTTTGATTTCTTCCTTCAGTTGTTCAGAATCTTCGACGAGAATGGTCTCTCCTCTCCCTTCCCTACCCTCTTCTTCCTATTTACACCCCACCTCCTTCCATTCCTTTCTCCCTCCCTCTCCCCCTTCGCTCCCTCCCCCTTCCTCTTTCTCCTTTCTCCCTCTCCCTCCCCCTCCTTCAACCTCTTTCCCTTCTGATCTCTTCCCCCTTCTCATTCCCAGCCTCTCTCTTTCTCCCTTCTCCTCCTCTCTCTCCTCTCCTGTGCTCTTCTCTTTCCCTTCGCTTTGCCATCCTCCTCCTCCTCCTCCTACCTGAACTTCCTACAGGTGATGGACAAATCGTCAAGGAAGAGCTCATTCATGTTATGAGCTTGCTGGTATAAGAGAGGATGAGAGAAGAGAAGAAAAGAGGAGGAGAGGGGAAAAGAGGAATGGTTGGGAGGAGGGAAAACAAGGGATGAAGGAAGAGGAGGAGAGGGGAGGAGAGTAGAAAAGCGAGGAGGAGTGGCTAGCCGGGAAAGCAGTGAGGCGGGAGGGGAAGAATAGACGAGAGGAGGAGAAGGGAGGAGAGGGAGGAGGGGAAGGAAGCGAAGATGCTGAGATTTTGAATCAGGGAAAGAAAATGAGCTATGAAGAGGCCGAGGCGATGATAAAGAAAGGTTCATTCCCTCCCTCCTCCTCCTCCTCCTCCTCTCTCACTTTCTCCCTTCCCCTTCTGCCTGTTTTCTCCCGCTCGCCTCAACGCTTCCCCTCCACCCACCCCAGTTCCTTTCCTCTATCCGCCTTTCTCCTCAACCCCATCCCCTCCTCCACATCTTCTCAATCCTCCTCCCTCCCTCCCACCACCACCGCCGCAACTCCCCTCCTCCTCCCCTCCCTCCTCCTCCTCCCCTTCCTCCTCCTCCTCCTCCTCCTTCTCCCCTCCCCCCACACCACTTCCTGCTCTCAATCTTCCTCCCGCTCTCCTCCGCTTTTCTTCTCATCCCCCTCAAGCTGTAGGACATTCAGCGACAGGAATTCATCTCGATGCATTCAGAAGACTTCTCAAGGTATCTTCATTCCTTTCTTGTCCTCCTCAAAGTTTTCTTGCTCATTTCATCGTTTACAGGAAGGAGCGATATAAACTCTCCTTCCCTCCTCTTCTTCTTTCCTTACACTCCTGACTTCTGTCATGATGGGATTTCTTCCCGTCGTCATGTTTGCTAATTGTTTGTTTATCTTCAACCGCAAAGAATAATAATTCAAGACTATCTGGTGTATCGGATCTTCAATCGTCGGAGAATTTGATATGTACGCGCTACAAGAAGAGATGCGTCAACAAAAATATCTCTCACCAACAAATAATCTCTCATTCACAAATAATCTCTCACCAACAACTCATATCTCATCAACTCAACATCTCTGACCAACAACCCATCTCTCACCAGCAACTCATCGTTCATCATCAACGCATATCTCACTTTCTCCCCATTCACGTCGCATCTCATCGCCTCACCTTTGTTTGTTGTGCTTCTTTGAGCTTCTCCTGCTCCATCCGCTTCGCCTCCTGCCTCGCTGCCCATGAAGGATGAACATCCGGCGTTCGCTTCTCCTTCTCCCCCGACCTCCTCCCTTCCTCTCCATCTCTTCGCACTCCTCCTCTTCCACCTCCTCCTCTTCCACCTCCTCCTCTTCCTCCTCCTCCTCTTCCTCCTCCTCCTCTTCCTCCTCCTCCTCTTCCTCCTCCTCCTCTTCCTCCTCCTCCTCTTCCTCCTCCTCCTCTCAGATCCTCGACCATTTCTCAGGCTCGTCGCCTGACCAGCTTGTGAACGTCGTGGTGGACGAAGAAGAAGGGTATTCGATCACCTGAATCTCCCCTGTCGAACTTTCCCAAGCTCCCTCGCTCCTTTCCCCCCCCACCTTGTCCCTCCCCTCCTTGCTTTCTCCCTGGATTCATGATTCAACTCCTTCCATCGCGCTCGCCTCTCCCATCTCTCCTGCTCGTCGCCTCTCACCTCTCACATTTCTTCCTCCCTCCAGCCGCGTCATCCAACAAGTCCCGCGGGTGAGCAGCAAGTAGCACCAGCACAGCTACCTCACACCCTCCTGCAGGCCTGGACGAGTTTCCGAGCGAGCATCACCAACCACACAGAGCAGGAGAGAGAAGCTCTGGTCTCCAGGTTCCTGCAGGCCGCCAGTGACGGGGAGGATGAGGAGGTTGTTTCTGAGAGTGTTCATCCTCCTCCTCAAGCTCCTCCTCCTCAAGCTCCTCCTCCTCCTCCAGCTCCTCCTCTGAGACCCTCAGCAGATCCTGACGCTCGTCGAACGGCATCACGTTCCTATCGAGGCCTGGGACAGGACGATGGAGGGACAACGGGCTGTTCACTTCGTGCGATCTCCATCCTCCTCCTCCTCAACCACCACCACCACCTCCTCCTCCTCCTCCTCCACCTCCACTTCCTCCTTCCTTCTCCACCTCCTCGTCCTCCACCACCACCACCTCCTCCACCACCTTTCCAATTGATTCGCTCTCGGCAACTCTTCGCGTGCAACTGCTCACTTTCTTCTCCAATGCTCTATTTCTTCTTTAGCTCCTCCTCCAGCTCCTCCCCAGCTCCTCGTCCAGCTCTTCTTAGCTCTTTCTGAGTTGCAAGTAGGCGGCATCGGGGGGTCACCTTGAAGTCCTTGGGACCCTCAGGAAGCTCGGAGCTGAGATGACTGCGATGGACTTTGCGGGGAGAACTGCGCTC